AAAACATCCCACCATGAACCATTGGAAATTAGTGTTTAGTAATAATATCTACAGATTAGATGTGATTTAATACTGTATTTGATTTGGTTGAAGTGTCAGTTTACAAATACACCCGATCATTTTCCGAAGATAAAAGATAAGAACGGATAATTGAACAAACCTGAGAGTTAATGACAGAATCACAAAAGAATTCGGGATTTCAACCCTATTCAGACTTTTGGGTTATCGTGGGACGTGTGTGTGTGTGATGTCGTAGAGCCACAAATTTTTTAGTAGAAAATAAAGTTTGTTTATTTAGATTTTGACAACTTGAGTCGATCCCATGGCATATAGCGTAGTTAGCGAGCGTTGCTAATTGTTTCCACACTGCATGCCAGGCCGCATGCCTTAACAGGCTGGGAAAGTCATTCCCAGCCTGACTCAGCGCGCGGCGGACGTTCGAAGCTCTAGCTCTAGTCCTTGCTCTAGCGATCATGTCATTTGACTTCACAGCATGGTCTGACACGTCAAAGCTGACGTCGACCACAATCAAGGCACTAGAGGACGCAGACCTTGCCGATGAGGACCTTGCCCTGTCATGCGTTACGGCAGCAATGCTACAACAGCTGAAGCTGGCAGTCGGGCAGTACGCCCTTCTGTGTAAGGCCACGGCCAAGCTCCAGGCGGGAACAGTACCAGCGGCCGCGAAGGCGAAGGTCACTCTGGATGACCTGAATCAGGACTGCCGTGACTGCCATCCTCGGACAAATAGAAGACACGGGAGACCTGCTAGCAGGAGCGACTCAGGCGACCCAGGTCCAGGCCAGCGACGACAACCCCTCTGTAAAGCCAGGTGAGAAACCACTCCTCATACCTGAATTTGTCGACTCGTATACTCAACCCGAGACCGACCACGAGGTCGCCCGTAACGGCCAGACGGCTATCATTCTACGCACGTCCCGTACCCGGCCTAAGTTAGAGAATATTCGAGTTCCAGCATGGTCTGCGGCCAACGCCAAGATCATGGACGCCCTTATCCGCGGTAACAAACAGCAGACAAGACAAGACATTGTCGACTACCTCGGATACACAGTTAAGGTGTATGAGCTGTTCGAGGTTTATGACACTGCATCAGTGATGCTGTACGACAACAGTATCGCATGAACCAGCACCGCCACGGTTTCCGCTGGGGCAGGGATTCCGAGCAACTCCTCTCCCGGTTCCTACGGAGCCAGGCCCCGTCTGCCAAGCCGCACAACCCTAGGGCACCGCAAACCTGGTACCGACCGGGCGAAAACAGCAGAGAGGCAGGAGATCTGTCGCAACTTTCAAAACCCGAGTGGATGTCGGCGCCCATCATGCAACTATGCCCATGTCTGCATAACCCCGGGGTGTGGAGAACCCCACCCACAGTGCGAACACAAAAAGTCTAAATAGCAACTCCAGTCACCACTCAACCTTCCAGCATGACAACGGCATTGGAAATGGACGACGATAGAGAATTCTTATTGGACGGCTTAAAACACGGATTTCGAATCCTTCCCGAAGATAGCATTCTTTTTCCTGCAGAATGTGACAACTACAAATCGGCGACCGACCCCACCACACGCGAGAAAGTCGAGATGCAACTTCGGAATGAACTTGCAAAAGGAAACTACGAGCTATGCAGGGAAAAACCGACCAAAGTTAGCGCACACAGCGCGATCCCCAAGGCAGACTCTGCGGACGTAGGTCTCATTCATGACTGGATCAGCCCTTAATTATTACGTCGAATCGGTACATTTTAGTTACCAGTCGATTGATGATGCAGTAAGCATGCTCGCGGACGGCTCGTACATGGCAAAGATTGACCTCAAGAGCGCGTATACGTCAGTACCTATCCACCCATCCAAATACAGCGCAACTGGACTAAAGTGGCGGTTTCAAGGAGACTGTGAGTACACTTTTCTTGTAGACAAACGTCTTCCTTTTGGTGCCCGGAAGGCGCCAGAAATATTTCATAGGATATTACAGTCAGTTTGACGTATCATGAAGCGACGCGGATACCATACAATTGGACGACTTCCACATTATCGATGCAACGTATGAGGAATGTCGCCTCGCCTTGAGACATTGCTTGAACTGCTACAACACTAAGGGTTTGAGATTAATTGGCGTAAAGTAATCTTCCCCACGTGAAGGCTTACATTCCTCGGAATCGATATAGATGCGGCGGAGAGAACACTGTCTCTACCTGTAGACAAATTAACCAAACTGCAAACCCTACTCTACGTGAACCCTACTCTGTGACATTAGCGGGCGGAAGCGTGTGTCAAAGCGGGACTTACTCAGCTTGCTGGGCAAGTTAAATTGGGCGGCGAGAGTTGTGCGTGGTGGGCTTTTATACGGCGGCTGCCCGCCGGCGTCCTTGCTCTCGACCCACGTCTTCGGTGGACGCAGTGGCTTGCGGTGCAAGGGGGACATGCTTTCCGGGCCTTGGACAATCTTCTTCCGGCAGGCTGGCGTGACGTCCTCGCCACCGGAGATCCTGCCAGCGGCCATATGCTTATCTCAAAGATTAAGCCATGCACCTGTAATTTTATACCGATTCAGTGAAACTCTGAATGGCTCTTTATACTTTATAACAGTTATGGTTCCTTTAATCGTCACATCCTACATGAATAACTGTAGTAATTCTAGAGCTAATACATGCAGAAGAAGCCGACCTCACGATCTGGCGTGCATTTATCAGACCAAGACCAACCCGGGATTCGCCCCGGTCCCTTTGGTAACTCTGAATAACCCAGCCGATCGCACGGTCTTCGCACCGGCGACAGATCATTCAAATGTCTGCCCTATCAACTTTCGATGGTATGTTCTGTGTCCACCATGGTGGCAACGGGTGACGGGAAATCAGGATTCGGTTCCGTAGAGGGAGCCTGAGGAACGGTTACCACATCCAAGGAAGGCAGCAGGCGCGCAAATTACCCACTCCCGACTCGGGGAGGTTGTGACGAAAAAAAAACAATTACAATACGAATGACAATTAAATAAAATAGAAATTCGAGGCCCCGTAATTGGAATGGGTACACTTTAAATCCTTTGACGAGGATCTATTGGAGGGCAAGTCTGTAGCCAGCTGCTGCGGTAATTCAAGCTCCAATAGCGTATATGAAAGTAGTTATGGTTAAAAAGCTCGTAGTTGGATCTTGGGACCGGTCTTGCGGTCCGCTGCAAATCGTGTCACTGCTCGTCCCGGCCCTCCCCGGCGGATTCTCCCTGGTGCTCGAGTGCCTCGGGGTGCCGGTGACTTTGTCCCGCGTTCGGCTGCTTATCGTATTCCCGTCAAAGTCTTGTTTGTTTACAGTAGTAGACCAAGTCATGCATTCGCAGGCGACCGAGCGGGGTGTCCGACGAGTTCTGCGGTCCCACCGGAATAAACGGGGAAGGGGCTCCGTTGACTGCGGTGGCAGGCAGCTAGCGAGTGCGTCTTTAGCCGGCCGAACACGGATAAGTCCCCGACGAGAAAAATAGTTAGGATTGTGGTGTAACTTTTCTCCCTCGCTCGATTTAATGGCTTTGCCAGGCGGCCGCTGGAGGTAAAGACGCGGTCACATTTCCCAACCCGGGCCAGGCCGGGCAGCTGATTGAAACGAAATTTCTAAAACAGCAAAACACACAACAAAAGTTTTAGAACATCAACCATGAGCACTATTTGTATATCCCCCTAATACAAATTTTATATATTTCGTTAACGCAAACAACCCGGCCGGGCCGCGGCTTGGAAATGTGACCATGCCCTAACAGGGTCTCAGTTCGGTCACAACATAGTCATACGAGTTTACCTGACACTTTTAATTTAAAACAAACCTAAATAAAGACATGTTTCTCGCCATTCTCAGGTATTTTGAACTGCTGACGCCTTTTTTTCCGAATGGTTGTAAAAGGGTGTTCTAACGAGCTGACACGGGCGTCTCAACATGAGTCCAGAGGCTATCGGCACATTTCTCTACCACTCTAGAAAGTCTACTTAAAGGCACTCTATGTAGTTTTTTGACAATACAAAAAGTATATTTTTCATTCTTTTCTTTACATAGTACATTGACTTAACCCTTAAGTATTCCAAAATAATACTCTGCAACAAAAAAATAAAACATCCTTGCTCCTTAGAAGCTTAGAAAACTGTGAATGATCTTCTATTCAACCTCTGGCCAAACCGCACGTATGGTATTGTCCACTCCCAGTGGTTTGACCTACATCCCAGTGGGGTGTCAGTTGATAGCTTACCAGTTTCTGAAATACCTAATCGTTTACCAGATTTTTTATCTCTTTTGAAGGGAAAATGACCACAGTTTATCCATGCGCAACAAAATACTCCAAGTTAATAATTATATTCCACCTCATGTGAAAGATTTGAGTGTTTTTCCGGTGAAATAAAACCTCCTTGGTTTTTCTAAGGAGGCTATATCTTGTCACATGTGCCCCTGTCAATCAAGCCTGGCATGCCCGGGCCAATTAGCCACCCCAGGGGGGGGGGGCAACCCCTGTATGTTGTTGTTGTTGCCCAGAGCAAACCGGTGGCACCGGGTAC